ATAACACAACATAGTTTCAAAAGTAAGAAGTGGTTGCCGGGGATTTAGCTCAGTGGTTCCAGTGCCTGCCTCACAAGCGCAAGGATCAGAGTTGATCTCCCATACCAAAAAAAAAAAAAGTGAGAAGTGGTGGCATCAGTTTTGTCTCAACTACATATATGTCAAAGATATAAGAACAAAGAAAAAATCTTTACCTATCAAGAAATTATTGGCAACTTTTCGTATACTTTTAGTTTAGTCAAGGACAAGAAAGGTCAATGAAATTCAAATTATATTGAGAGATAATAATGAAGAAACAAAATGTCCTAACAGAATAAAGGAAAAAAGTCCTATGTTAATAATTTTATATATAAAAGCATTAAAGAAGGCTGGAAGAATATAAACCCATTTTATAATATTGGAGTAGGGAAGAGAGAAAGACATGGGACTGGGGTCAGCATTCAAAGGGAATTTTATCTGTAATATTTTCACTTTTTTTTTTTTGGAGATAGGGTCTTATGTAGCTCAGGCTGGCCTCAAATTTGTGGTGATTCTACTATCTCAGTCTCTTTGGAGCTGGGATTATAGGCATGTAGCATCATGCCAGGCCAATGTTTCCACTTTTTTTTTTTTTTTTTGAGGCAGGGCCTTACTACAAGGTTTGGGCAGGCCTTGAACTCATTACATAGCCCAGGCTAGCTTAGAACTCGAGGCGAACTGCCTGCCTCAGCCTACCAAGTGCTGAGATTACAGGCATGCACTACCATGCTTGGCTCCATTTCCACTTTTTACATATAGATGAAAGCAAATATTACTATGAATTGTTTTCAATTCCAAGTATTGGGCTTTTAATTATCAAAATGGAGTAGTGGTATGATTGAAAAAGATATAATCTGACAAAAGGAATATGAAATTGCTTTAACAGAAATTAAGAGACAATTATATAAAGCAGAAAAAGATATGGCAGGCTTCTATCAAAGTATAGTTTCCCATCTCTCCAATGAGATATACACATGGACGGTAACATCCTTGCAGAGAGGATCTAATTCACTTTGCCTTGTGAAAGGGGCTAAGGAAAATAGACCTTTTCTTCCATCTGATGGTTCTAGGGATGCCATGCCTATATTCCCTGCCTACTCACTAGGTGCAAGTAAGTGATGCAAAACAGTCTCAACAAATTCCTGAGTGTTTCGGGGGGAGCAAAAGCCCAATAAAGTATTTTTCAGTAGAGACATACACACACACACAAAAGAAAAAAAAGATCATAAAGTAGGTAGTGATAAAGTAATACATAATAGACTTCAGCTGACCAAGGTTCAAGGACCTGGTCAAACAGTTTAAGCTAATAAGTGGTTATAATTTCAAGGAAATAAGATTTCTGACTGCAAATCATTCATGACATTAGAAAAAATCACCTCTATCACCACTGCTTTCAAACAACTGTTTACTCAGTAGCCTAAAAGATCAAATAAATTTACATAAAATGGTTGCTTATTTACAAAAGTGAAAGAATTAAAATACATATACACAAATATGTGCGCATTTACTTACAAATACTGCAAGAATTAAATTTATCAAGATAAATAATGGCTGAATCAATTATTTAGAAAGAATGAGGTAATTCAACTTCAGCTGTTAATAAATTGCCACTAGTTTGAAAACTCTGCTGGACATGGTGCAATCCCAGCATGTGAAAGATTGAGGAAGATTCCAAGTTTGAGGCCAACCTGGTCTACTCAGTAAATTGAAAGCCAACCAGGATTAGAGTGAGACCCTGTCTTTAAAAAAACCCAAACCAAAACCAAAACCAAGGGGCCAGGATGTAGCTCAGCGTCACCCCGCCTATCTAGCAAGTCCAACGTCCTGAGTTTGATTCCCAGTACCAAAACAAAAAAACAGAACAAAAAAAACCCCCTGAAAGATTAAGTAGTATATAATGAACATACCATGTATGTTACAATTAAAACAGTCTTCACTCTGAAGTTTATGGAACACAAACATCATTAGAGCATAAGTTCCTTAAAAACATTTTCATTACATTCATTATTATATACCAAGGTCCTAGAATGGTACTGGGCATATGTAGCCACTCAGTGTTTATTAAATTCAGTAAGTACAAACATTTAATAATTGACTCAGTATAAAATACATACATACTTTTAACCTAGAAGCAACTGAACGAAATGTTTACACATCTCCTTAGCCTTCACCTGTACTAAAGAAACAAACATGTGGAAGGGTATCTGAGCTAAACTGTCCTTCAAAACATTACTATCCAGAGCCAGGCATGGTGGTGCAAGCCTGTAATCTCAACACTGGAGAGGCTGAAGCAGGAGGATCAGTGCGAGTTTGAGGTCAGCCTGGGCTACATAGTGAGTTCAGGGCCAGCCTGAACTACAAAGACCCTTTCTCAAAAATAAATAAATAAATCTAAAGATGGGGAAAAAGCTAGATTCATGAAAAGCATTCTGGGCCACAGTAGGCTGACATATTCCATTAGTAGTCCTCAAATGAATCATGTTGAGTATCTATGTGTTGAATTTGCATGTAGGGTCAGCCCAGATTAGAATGATAAAAAATATGAAGTGAGGGAAAAAAATGACACAATGGTTACACTAGTCTTAAGTACCTTCTGTCTGCCTAACATCATTTATATAAATAGCATCTTATAAACAAAAAAATCTGTCTAATCTATGTCACACAGCTGTTAAGTGGCAAAATTAGAATTTTAAGATTTTCATCTAAAGCCCAAAACTACTGATCAGGACTTAGGGTTTAGGGCAGTTGTTTTCACCCATATCAGACAAGGCTAGAAGGCTTCTGAAAATATAGATGCCCAGGCCCTCCGCTCCAGAAATTTGTGATCTCATTGATCTTGGGCAGTATCCAAGTATTCATCCATATTTTAAAATACTCCTCAGGTGATTCTCAGGGAGCTAATTTACAAACTACTGACCTAGGCAACAAAGATCTTTGTCAAGTTTTAAGTATCTGCCTTTAGGACTGGGGATGTACCTCAGCTAGAAAGTACTTGCCTAGCCTTCACAAAGCTCTGGGTTAAATTCTCAATACAGCCACGAACACACACAAACTACCTTCAAGTGTGTCAAAAAGGAATAAATGTGAGAGAAAGCCAGTGTTACGGTCACCTGTTTCAGTAAAGGAGCCAGAATTTCCAAGTTACTGTTAATTTTGGGGGGGCAGGGGGGTTGAGACAGGTTTCACTATGTAGTTCAGGCTAGGCTCTGTAGTTCAGGCACGGCTCTCCTCCTACCTCAGTCTCCCTAGTACTGGGATTACTGTAGAGTAGTAGACTGCTAAGTTTTAAATGGCTCACTAGCATTCCCTAGTTTCTTTTTAATTTTATGGAACTTCTGGAACATAGGAATTGTAAGTCACCACATAAAGGTGAAAGTGAAAGGAAGGCCCTCAAGAGGAAAAATAATTCATCATAAAATATTCTACACTAGAACAGGGTCTCACTTGACTGGAATTGGCAATAGCAGGTGGTCTCTGGGGAAATATTAATATCCCAGAATTTGCCAGTGTGCTAAACTATGACAGGAAAACCGGATAAATGATCAGACCCCTGGACAACCAGATAAACTGACAAATTTCATGAGTTAGATTTTTAAAAAATTTATTTATTTATTTATTTTTGGTACCAGGGATTGAACTCAGGACCTTGCGCTTTTCAGGCAGGTGGCAGAACCAATGAGCTAAATCCCCGGCCCTCATGAATTGGTTTATACAACAACTATTTCCTGATCATGTACTTGATGCTAGGCTCTGTTCTAGGATGTAAGGTAAACAATGAGTAAATTTTTGCCTTTCCGGAGCTTGTAAACCACACATTTGAAACAGGGGTAGACAAAACAGGTCAGAATGTTGACTGAAACAAGGGTTAGCTAGACTAAACACTAGTCATCCAAAATGAAAAATGTCAGTGACATTTCTGTCAATTTAAAAGTCTCATAATTCTAAAACCCAAAGGAAATGTCAGTGGAGGAGGAGCAATACTCTTGGGTGATTTGGGTGTGGGAGACCCAAACAGAATTTAACTCGGTATAATCTCTAGGGAAAGTCCTTCCTTTAACTACCTTTAATTGGACCTTTACTCAGCACAAAAAGCTGTTTCACTTGCTGAACAGGGAGGCAAGTGGTATCCACTGAAAGCTGTAGGCAGCCACAAACATGAATTAGCTGATACTATCGGATTATGACAGGAAGCCCTAGCTAGGGGTACAAAGTGGATTTAGTTTCCAAAAACTCATAGGAGAACCCACTGCCTAGAATTTGAACAGCAGAGGGCGGTGCAGTCGACTTCACAAAGAGTTTTACCGACTGGAGCCCCCCCCTCCCCATGGGCAACTGGCCCCGTATAAATCGAAACTTTCTCAGTGAACTCAGCAATTCTCAAGTGTGTCAAATGTTCAGCGTTGGACTCGTGAGGCTGTTTTCCATAACCTTTAGTCTAGTCTTGACCGTGAAGGTTCCCTTGCGGATACTCTGACCTCACAGATTGGGGGGTGGAGATAGGGTGGGGGTGGGGGGGAAGAAGGAAATCAACCTATCAGGTTTTCCAAAAGAATGGTTACCCCTGGCTTTGGGAAAGAAGCTTAAAATTCTAAAGGGTGGGCGACTCATTCTCTGGGAAAGAGAATTTGGTTCTTCTTTCCATTGACACCGCTGACACACACTTTACAATACAGTCGGGTGGGAGGGTTGGGGAGGGTAAGAAAAAGAAACTAATTCTGTGGGTAACAGGAGGACCTATCACTTCAAAACGGCGTTCCAACAAAACTAGACTCCATTCCTTAACTAAGTTTCTAAGTCTACGACCCAGGCCTCGTGCTCTGTACTCCCCCAAGTACCAACTCCAAACTTTTTGTCCTCTGCCCAGCCCCCGGGTTGTGGAACTCTTCCCGGCACAACGGGCTCCACGCCCCGAGTCTCGAGGCAGCAGCGAGCAGGGGAGAGCGAAGGTCGGCGCTCCAGCTCTCTCCCAAAGCTACCCGTACCTGTCCAGCATCTGCTGTAGGGCTTGGTCCGGCATCTTCTGCAGAGCCGGCGCACTTGGCCCTGCCCAGTGGACCCGGCTGCGTCCAGGCCCACCCAGGGACAATAGCACTGAGAGGCGACGAAGTAGGCCTCAGTCCCGTGGCAGCCGCGAACCTGCCTCCTAGAGTCCCCGGGAGGCTCGGTTAGGCCAGCGGCGGCGGTGCACGGACAGCAGGCGTCCGGAGGAGGCGGTGGGGAGCGGGGAGGAGGAGCCTGACGCGGGGAGGCGGCGATCGCGGCCCCTGTTCCTGCCCGTCGGCCCGAGGTTCCGGTCCATGTACCGCGGGCGCTGAGTTGCTGCCACCGGAGGAGCTACCTCTGTGAGGTAAGAGTCACCGCCCCCGTGCGCGCCCGGGTCACGACGCTGGGCGAGCCCAGAGCATCCTGGGAGATGTAGTCCTCTGCTCGTCCCGGTAGAAGCCAGCCAGCCCGGACCACCGCCGCCGCCCGGCCGGCGCCCTCCCGTTTCCTTCCTCAGGGGAGGGGGGAAATGTCCTTCGGGTCGCTTTCCGGGAAGCAGCAGGATGTACCGCTCCACTGTCACTAGCAACAAGGTCAGCCCTTCTTGTCTGTTTCTTTACTCCTCAGCTCTTGCCCTCAGGTAAGGCTGAGCCAGGTGAGGGGAGGGGGCTGAAGGGCCATGTCTCGTCCAGGTCCGCAGCCCCGGCTGTGGCGTTGGGGCGGGCCGTGGTGGCAGAGGGAAGCCCCCGGCGGTGGAGTCAGCCTTTCCCACATCAGAGCCCATTTTGGGGGTGTTATACAACCCCCGCAAGGGGTAGGATGCTTCATGTGTGAGGTTATTCCTGAGGGGGCGGAAGCGTAGGGGCTACCTTGACAGGACCATTGTCACCGAGTCTCTGTGTGTTTGGAGGTAGGGGGTTGAAGGAGAAAAGATGATTCTTTGCCTCTCTATGAGCCTTCTCAAATGTGCCTTCCATAAGCTTTCAAGGGCTCCCCAATAGTCTCCAAATGGAACATGTTCGTGAATAAACAGCTCTTGCTTACTCAGCTGTGGGTTGTCAGGGATGTTTGTTTCTCTTTCTGCTACTGACCTCTGTTAACCAATTTTTGTCTTCTTAACACCTCCAAGCAGGTGGATGGCGGGGTTGGGGGTACGGGGTGTGGACTCAAGGGAGAAGCCACGAATCACTCATTGGGCTGTTCTCTGACGCTCTAGGGATAGCTGTGTGGCGAGAGGAAGAAGCTGTTGACTGAAACGAGTGGGTATTTCGGACGATCCATGGCTTCCCTAGTGCTGTGGTTGGTAGGACGTTTGGTAGTTATATCTGCTGTACAGTGTTTGATTATTTTCTTTAAATGAAAATGTACGATCTTTTTGGGAGAGTGTGGAGACAAGGTTTTGCTGTGTACATACGAAGTTCAGGCTGGCCTTGAACTCCCAACAATCCTCCTGTCTCAGTCTTCCTAGTATTGGGATTACAGGCATGCACCACTACGCCCCGCTGAAAATGTGTTTTTAGTAATTCTTTTTTAATGTAGAAATTTACAGTCAGCTCTTAATTACTTATTCAAAGTTTGCACTGGGTGCCAGGAAAGAAGGAAGGAAGGGAGGGAGGGAGGGAAGGATAGATAGATATGTCCAGAATTTTATTTGGTCCAATTTCTGAAATATGCTTTAAAAGGCTTTGGGGTATTATGATTAATACCTTTTTCTCCTGAAATAAGAAACAGGCCCACCTTAGGGAAAGACTCTTTTCTTCCTTGTACTGTGTAAGCTTCCCTCTACTCTATCTCCAAAGCAATTGTCAGCCATAAGGAGTTGGATATAGACATCTGCTTAAAAACAGAATTTTAGAAGGACCCGAGTTGGATCCCCGGTAACCAAAACAAAAAAACAAAAAACCCCCAAAAAACCACAACAGAATTTTAGGACCGGGGATTTAGCTCAGTAGCAGCACGCCTGCCTCGAAAGCACAAGGTCCTTAGTTCTATCCCCAGTACTGCAAAAAAACAAACAAAAACACACCAAAAAAACCAAAACCCAAAACCAAACAAACAAAAAACCTCCAGAATTTTATCTTAGTATATTGATTAGGCTAGTGAAAACTCCATTTCACTTTATGGTTAACACCAAAGGATCTCAGGATTTTTATTTGGTTTCTATTTGATCCTTTGGATGAGACCCTGGATTTGATCTATGGCACTGGAGGAAAAAAAAAAAAAGATTCACTGAAGTGATTAGTCCCTGACTAATCTAGGTATCCAAGTCTAGGTATCTCCCAAGAGAAATGAAAACCTGTATCTACAGAAAGATATGTTTGAGAATGTTCATAGCAGCAATAGTTGCTAAGTAAATAAATAGAAATAAAATGGGTATAGTTTATGGTACACAAATTACATCTTCATAAAGCTGTTAAAAGTAATTAGATCCATAGCCAGGCATAGTGCCATATGCCTGTAATCCCAGCTACTTGGAAGGCTGAGGGAGAAGGATTGCAAGTTTTAAGGTCAGCCTGGGCAACTTAGTGAGACCCTGTCTCAAAATAAAATTTAAAAAAAAATTTTTTTAAAGAACTGGGGATGTAGTTCAGTGATGCAGCACTTGCCTAGCATGCATAGGTCTCTGGGTTCAATACCCAAGGCAGAAAAAAAAAATTAGATCCATATAAAATGTACATGAGAACATCTAAAGAGAATCGAAAGAGAAATAGGTACACATAACTGATATTTTTAATCAAACATTTTTTTCTATTAATGCAAGCAAAAGTCATGATTGGTAAAACTCTTAAAGTAAACTAATACTTGCATTTACAATGACAGACATGGCGCCTGCCTTGAAAGCGCAAGGTCCCGACTTTGATCCCTAGTACCAAAAAATAAATAAATAAATAAAATGACTGACACACATAGCCTGAATTTCAAATTGTCTGTCAAGTTTGCTTTCTGTGGTTCTTGGATTTTCCCAGTGAGACTCAGGATAGTTGGGACAAACAATTTACTCTCTGATTTTGAGGAAAAAAGTCTTAATTACTTAGAATTTAGAGAAAAGAGTTGAAATTCACTTCCCCATTTTATATAGTGTTAAAGATTTATGGTAAATGTTATTCAGTCAAGGGAGTAACCACCATGACCACAGTCAAAGAAATCTTTTTCTTCAGAGATACTTCTTTTTTCTTTGACACAGGGTCTCACTATGTAGTTTAGTGTAGTTTATGTAGTGGCCTCAAACTCTGTCCATCCTTCAACTCCAGCCTTCTGAGTGCTGGGATTTCAGGCATGTGCCACCACACCCAGCAGAGATACTTTTAAAATAGAAATTAATGTACTAAAATACTTAAAGATTTTCTCAGTTTCAGAGGACAAGAACAAGGATTAACAATGTAGATTTATCTTAAAGAGTTACGGATTGTTTTAATATTTAGTAATGGATTTACAAATACCTGATTATGAACTGTTGTAAATATCTTAGGAAATTTAAAATAACTTGTTTTAAACTATCATAGGGGCCCTGGAGATATTCCCTAGAGAACATAGAGAAATAATGTAACATAGTAAGGTATCCTCCAAAGAGAACTGTCAATTTCCAAATTGGATGATAAACTGCATGCAGGCTGAGTCTTCAAAGCAGGCTACAGAAAATTCTTTATTAATTCCATCAGCAGATGTTTCCAGGGAATTTATTATGTGCATGGGTGCTCTAGTAGCAAATTAAACCATAACTTCTCTTAAGAGCCCTGAAATGTTTGTATTTAGAAAAATAAAACAAGGTACTTATATATGAAATATTGTATAATGACAACATGTAAGCATATGAAAAAGAACCAAATGAGTGGCATAGATATACAAAGTGATAGAGAAATTTGGAGGAGACAGTTGTAGGCTAGAATATTAAAGAGAACTTTGTTGCTGGGTATAGTGGCACACACCTGCAATCTCAGTACTTGGGAGGGTGAAGCAGGAGAATCACTGAGAGTTGAGGCTAGCCTGGGCTACATACTGAGTTCAAGGCTAGCCTGAACTACATAGTGAGACCCTGCCAAAAAACAAAAAACAAAACAGAAAAACCTTTGTGAAATGGGGAAATGGGCTTTATCTTGTAGCGAGAGAAGGAATTAAGTAAGTGAAGAGGTAGAAAGGATCTTGGGTCTGGATAAGATTGAAAAGATGTAATGAGAGGAGTTAACCTCTATAACTGAAACTGTAGGTCTCTGTTATGTAAGTGGAAAATATAGTTGATTAAGGAATAATTAAAAGGCCTTGAATCTGTTAATTCATTCAATCTAATCATGTAAGTACTGGAGATAATAATGAGCAAAACCAAGTGTAGTGGATGTTTGTAAAGTTTATAGTGGGAGAGAATCAGGTATATAAATTTGTTAAGTTGCAATAGTGTTATGAGAAATTATAATTAGGGACTTGACATAGGGAGGTCAGTGCAAGTTTCTCTGAGGAAGTGTCTAATATGTTCAGACCTGAAAAAGAGCAGGCATTAAATAGATAAAGCGGGGAGGAAGGAACATTCCAGGGTAAAGAACAGCATGTAGAAATTGCCCTATGAAGGAAGGCCACACGATGAAACAGAGAAACTAACAAGGAAGGGATCATAGGGCAACATGAAACCCAAAAAGATCAATGGGTGGCAGACTATGAAGAAAAGAAATTTGTAGGCCAATTTAATGAATTTTGTCCATATCTTAGGAGAGATGGAAACTGCTGGGGAGTTGGAGGTGGGGTTAGGCATAAGAAATAGACTCCATTGTGAGGGAAATGGGAAGGTAACTTGTAGTGGTTTCTAAATCTGTTATGAGTCTGAGAAAGTCCTGGAAATTCTGATTTTGTGCTCTGTAGTGGTTCCTAATTAGTGTCTGTTTAACAAGCTTCCTAAATGATTATTAGACTAATGTTAGAGAATCTCTGCAAAGATAATGCAGTGGTTGAGACCTGCAATTTAGACATAGGTTTGAGTTTCAGCATTGCTACTCAGAAGACTAGCAACTTTAGGCAGGTTACATTATCTCTTTAAACCAGCTTCTTCTCCAAGGGAAGAATTATAGAATTTGCATTATGTGGTACCTGAGAGGATTAAGTGACAGACATATGGTTAAGAGTTCAGGTGGCTTAGCTCTTAATTATTATGAAAAGTTCTTTAATGAAGTGGTATAAATGAGGGTGGGTTTGAAACAGATGAGTTAGGATTG